CGTTCCGAAATCATCATGACACCCTGTGGTTAAGGTCTGGTTAGGTTTAGGCACAAAAACCACTTGGTTAGGGTCAGGAAAAGATCATGGTGTGGGTTAAAATGAAAAAGAAAGTGGCAAACACATAAGCCGTGAGCCTGCTCCGCCTCAAGCCGGTCGCGGCGCACCATACGCCCGCCGTGAGCCGTTCAGCACCGCGGACAGTCGGACTAATAGGATGTCTAACCAATGGGCTGTCGAACCAATGACATGGACCCGTTCCGCGCCGGGGCTACAGGGGGTTGGCTAACTACTGCAGCTACAGAGTGATTTTCCATGGTACGGAGTTGCGCTTTCAATTCACTAAGCCTTGCCTCCAACGCAGCAAATAAACTACACTTGTTACATTTACCACTGTCACTAAAGGAGGCAGAGGCATAACTGAACATCTGGCACAGCGAGCAAGAAAGAGCAGGAGAAGGAGACGCCATCGCTAAGTGTTAAGCTAATGCAGCTAACAAGGCTAATAACGTGCAAACAACAGCTAAGATTACCAAGAAAGTCGTTAAAAAGAGGAGAGCTATATGTGCTTAAATAGAACTAATGTGGGTTAAGACATGAAGTAGATGTTAAGCAACTGAAGTGAGGAAAAACAGAAAACAAGCTGGTAGGAGTTTGCTAGAGCAGCACAGAGACGCTGTTGCAGAAACACCGGAAATGACACAACACGCTTACCGCAGTACATCAGCAACAGTGTTGGGCATGAGGGCACTGTAGTGTTGAATGCAACCCCTCTGATCCTTAACCTAGGCAACACATTATGTCAACAGTAATAATGAAAGCACATAATGTTTGTAGGTATCCAGGAGTCCTGTCTGGTTTCTGGTGTGAGGGAAAGTACGAAGCTACCATGTGTAGTCTGCTGTGTGCTCTGCCTACCTGATGGGAACTTGGAGGCAGCAGGTACATAGCATTGACTGTAAAAATAAACATAGCTACATAAACATGCAGAGAGGTCAGGAAGTGGGAGGATATGTGTATTCATGGGTCACAGTAAACCATGACAGTGTGACGGAGAGCCAACATTCATTTTATTATATTCTCACATCAGAACATCCACTGTAAAAAAGTCTATTGTCATGTTTCAAATCCATGTTGGTGTGGACGCTCTGCAACTGTTTTTCAGCAGGTAAATGGCTCAGCTGTTCACTGGAGGAGAGTTCCTGATGAATGAAGGAAAATAACAAAGCAGTTTAAAAGCTGATTTTAGACACACACACACTGACAACATAACAACAAGAGAGAAGAAATGTATTAAATGTTTGCAGCTCTGATGTTGTGTCTGATTATCATTCCTGGAGTAACTTCTCTCTTCTCCATCATGTTCATTGAATAAGTGAAATAAGATCATCATTGAGCATGCTCACTTTTGGGTGATGGATGACACCACATTAGTCACTACAGCTTCTCCTATACTGGAAACAGTCTCATCCACAGAAAAATCTTCTTGACCTCTTTTACTATTCTTCATTGAAACTAATAAGAACAGATAGCTGTGGCAAACTGAAATAAAAATGCTAAAAAAAAAGTGTTTTATGACAAAACACAGTTCAAAATCCCACAAATCCACAAAGATCTCAGATATTAAGGAATCTATTTTATGCTCATTCTTGTGACCTGAAATGACTGATCTGATGACTGCAGAGACTGATGGACTGTATTGAGCTTTAAGAAGAGCAGGAGTGGGTGTTGAGTGTGGTGGAGAATTACGCATCTGTGATACACAGCTCTTATAGATGGAATTATCGGCATGGCCCTCAATCAGCTCCTGGTAGCAAGTTGATCTGGAAGTCTGTAAAGTCCACCAGAGCCTGGAGAAAACCACTAAGAAAATGTGCTGTACAAATACATCATACAGCAAAACCCAAACCTTTATGAAAAGCTACAAATTCAAATGACAAAAATCTGGAAATAAATAAAAGTAGATCCGATACAATCCTCAGCTAACCAATAAACTGTCCATGAGACCTTTCATCTTAGATGAAACCTCAGAAAAAGACACGCAACACTAAAAGTGTCGGAAGGACTAAGTGTGTGTACAGTCTGGCACAAAAAAGGGGATAATTGTCAGATACCCAAAATAATGTCACAGATGACGAGGCGGAGCTCTACAGGAGAATACTGTAAAGAGTTCAGAGGACAGGTGCTGAATGGGATGTAAAATGTTGCGCAGCAGAGGGCACTGTTTGGCCAGATGAGAATGGGTCTTCAAGCTGCCACATCAGCAGTGTGGAGTTTAACTGCACGTCTGGAAATGACAGGGCTGGAAATGTAAACCTCATTTTTCCCAAAGAAAACATGGCTCGTTGGTCTAGGGGTATGATTCTCGCTTAGGGTGCGAGAGGTCCCGGGTTCAAATCCCGGACGAGCCCAGATTTTAAACCAAGAGGATTCAAGGTCACAAATGAGGGGACATATAATCATCACTCGAAAACCTAACACCAGTGACAAGTGATGCGAAAAACATTGATCATTTCATCACAGTATGATGTGCTGCATGGAAACCTTGGGTCCTGGCATTAATGACCAAAGACTGTTGCAGATCAGCTACTTAATCTCATGGCAATGAGGGAAAGTACAAGCAGTATTTCGGCTGTGGAGCTGCAGCAAATGAGGGGTTGGGTGTGTCTTGTTTAGCACAATATGTTAAAATCATTCCGGATGATAACGTGCTGTAACTTCAAGCATTTATCAAGATGCTGTTGACATAAGGGCTGAATGTTTCTGTAGGAAGGCAGTCTTCATACACACTGCGTCTGTGTGACAAGGTATGAAAAGGTTACACTCCAATCACAATCAAGCATCTTTCAGAAAGCAACTGGGACACTTGCTACTATCTCACAGTTTCAGCGTGACAGTGAACACATTTACATATTCTATGAGAATATCACAGGGACCTGACCAAGGGCACTAAATGTGCGAGGACCGCTGCTGATTACAACAAGATAGAAATAACAGACAATATTTAAATGTTTGCAACTCTGATGTTGTGTCTGATTATCATTCCTGGAGGAACTTCTCTCTTCTCCATCATGTTCACTGAATAAGTGAAATAAAAACACAGTTAGCTGACAGTAGTCTGTCTGTGGTGCTGCACTGACTGGTGTGATTGATGGTCATTGCTCCTCTCCTCCAGGTGGAGGCGCTGTAGGACAAAGAAACAGAGAAGTGGTTTGTGAGGGTTTTGATGGGAAGAATAAAATGAAGAAGCAGTGATGAAGCTGCTTTAACATGTGCAGACATTGTTGTTGAGTATAGACAGTGTAAAAAGACTGTGTCCCGCTGTATTACCCAGGCTGCACTGCAGCGTCTGTTCACAGGCGCGATCCCACTACTGAGCGGCACGGGGGCTTTGACCTGCTCCGTCTCCGACCTGGGCCGGTTGACCCCTCCTTAGACGACCTGGTGGTCCCGGGCTCCCCCAGGAGCACCATATCGATACGGAACTTAGTGCGGACACCCGATCAACACAGTCCGCTGCAGCTCAGAGCTCCTGAGCTCAAACGATCCTCCAGCCTCAGCCTCCCGGTAACTTGGATTACAGGCGCGCGCCACCGCACCCGGCGGGAGGTCCCTTCATCCATAGAGGTTTTTTTTTTTCCAAAGGTGACGTCATCAGGGAGCACGCTTCACCGGTATTTGGAGACTACAAGAAAGCAGCTGCAGGGTTGAATGTTGATCAGCATTTATTCAGTTTTCCTAAAACTCTCTGACTGATAAAACCTCACTGCAGTAAAGATCAATAAGCCTACACATAGAGCTGTGAGCTCAGTAGAGTTTATTATCTTCCTGCTTTTCTGTTGTCTTGTAGTCATAGGTATACACATTAGATTTTTTTTTTTATAATGTCAGCATGTTACATGATACAGTAACTTACACGCACACTCTTTGATTCCAATGTTAATCACAGAGTAACTCTACTAGCAACATTTAAAACACAGGAGTGGAATTTACTGTCACTGCCAAAAGAAATAACATCTCTTTATACAGAGACTGGACCATGCTGCAGAACAACTCAATCTAAGTTATTATTATTATTATTATTATTATTATTGTTATTATTATTATTATTGTACAAGCTTTAGTTACATCTGTAATGCTTGCAAACACAGGAGGAGCTTTGGACATTATGTACTTTGATACTTCATATCATCAGTAATGAAAAGGAAACAGGTCTTTTGGAGTTAGTGTGTGGCTCTCAGAAGAGCCTTATTGGGGCTGGTGTCCAGCAGTCAAAGAGTCCAGGTTTACTTGGACTTGGCGGCCTTCTCGGTCTTCTTGGGCAGTAGAACAGCCTGGATGTTGGGCAGCACGCCGCCCTGAGTCTTTCTCAGTATAGTTACAGTCATAACCTCCTACACAGTAACCTATAGTAAATGTATGTTCAAAGTAAGTTATCGGTATCTCATATATCCGAGAGCACTGAATGGTTTTTGATCTACAGATGTGAATGTCAGGGTAACTAACCACTTCCAAAGCTGAGCCGTAGTTTGTATCAGTGCTAAAGATTCTCCAGAAATATTGTGTTGTAAAGATGTACAGCAGATGTCAGCAGGAGACACGTTATTGAGATATTAGGCTATTAAACAGACTCAAAGTACAAGTGCTCTCATTTATCAGGAACCAGATATCTTTAGTGTCACAGTTGAGAGCTGTTGTTCTTCTGGATGTTGATGCTGGTAAATTCTAACATATAATACACACACACACACACACACACACACACACACACACACACACAGTATAACATGTTTTACTATTAGCAATGATTATAAAAACATCAAATTGCTAAATATAAAATGATGTGCTACACAACATCTTTAGTTAGAAATGGTGTTCACACTTAGTCTACTGTAATTTTCTATAATAACTGAAACTTTGAAGACAACAGGAAGAACTCTTTAGATAAAGTGGGTGGCTCTTAGAAGAGCCTTTGTGTTGTTGGTTATATGTCGGCAGGTTTACTTGGAGCTGGTGTACTTGGTGACGGCCTTGGTGCCCTCAGACACAGCGTGCTTGGCCAGCTCACCGGGCAGCAGCAGGCGGACGGCGGTCTGGATCTCCCTGGAAGTGATGGTGGAGCGCTTGTTGTAGTGAGCCAGACGGGAGGCCTCACCGGCGATGCGCTCAAAGATGTCGCTCACAAACGAGTGATGATGATGCCCATGGCCTTATTCATAGGTTAATAGTTAAGAGTTTAGTTACAATAAGAAAGTTGTTGGTATTGACTAGCGGTGAAAAAAAGTACACAGAACTTTTACTTAAGTAAAACTGGAAATACCACAGTGTAGTATTACTCTGTTACAAGGGAAAGTCTTGCATTCAACTCACATTTGGGTTTAGTTATTATATAACTGAGAAGTATATGTATAAAGAGCTTGAATAACTGATATAAGCTGTAATTAAAGATAAATTATAGTTTGTTTTCAGAGAGACCTTTATTATTGATAATGAAAGTATAAACTTTTCTTGGATTAATTGATAACTCAGGTAACGCTGTATGTTCTTTACAACACATTAACAAACTATTTACACACGTTTTATGATATTAGATTTTGCAGCTGCAAGTTAGTCTCATTGATGCTGAGGACTGTGCCAAGATAATGGACAGATGAAATCATAGAGTCATAGTGACATGTGGGTTTGTTCACTGACTGTGCAGCTTTACAAAGATTAATAAGTTGTTGTTGTCGGTGTGACCTGTGGGTAAAGGTGCTCTTAGTCAGGATGCAGCCTCATGGCTGCTCCACCATGATTCAGCACATAGGACAGAGTCAGCATCTCTGCCAGTGTGTCAATTCAGCACCTCAGACAGCGACGGCTGCACAAGAGTCCTCTCACCTACACTTACCTGCTCTCACCTGGGAGAGCTGAGACACAGCTGCAGCCAATCACAGAGCATCCTGCTGCACTACAGAAGGTACTCACCTGCTTCCAGAGAACCTCCAACAAACAGCTACGTCAAAATATCAGTTTAACATAGGCTACACTATATTACTGAGGTGAGTAAACACACCTGATTTCAGAAATGATGAAGAATAAAGTCTTCAGCCAATAATCCTTAATAATGCTCATTACAGTTTGTTTATCACTCTGTTTTCACCCTTTGTTTGTTTTTTCACCAGTCATTCAGTTTTGGTGTCATATTGTGACACCCACCAGACACAGAAAGCAGGTTCCAGCACTGTCAGAGCAGAAACAACCAGGAAGAAGCNAGCGTGATGATGAATGTGTTGGGTCGAAGGCAGGAATGCAGGAGAAATCCCGGGAGTAAGACTAAGTCGGGGTGTTGTCTCTTCGTGAACTTGGCTTCGTATAAAGTCACCAAGAGAACTTCAAGAGTGCATGGGAGTTTCAGATGTTGTTTGGTTCATTGCGCATATGTGTGATGTTTACTGAAGAAGACAGCGCCCTGGAATTTTAATGAGATCAAGAATTTTCTGCCTATAAACGGTTAGAGTGGTTCCCTGCAAAGAGACAACCCAAGTAAAACAGTCGAAAGAAGATCGGAGGCTGGTGCCAATTGTCAGAATTTCAAGAATTAATAATGGGAAAGCAAGAGCTGGCGATTGAGGATATGGGACGCTCGGGTTGATGAATTGGTGCAGGTCTGAGGCCAGGGTGAGTGGCTGCATTAATAGCATGTTGTTAAGCGAATGCAATAGTGCCCCGAAAAGGATGGGTGCTATAGAGACTGGGTACATTTCACTGGTTGTGAACGAGGGGTGGAGGTGGCTGAGTTTGTGTACGGTTGGATGACTCCTGGCTTAGTGTGATAATCACAAAAGGGGATGTCGTTCTGGGAGAATTTTGGGACTGGTGCTACGGTTTAGCCCCGTCTTGCATGGTTAATCAAGCTTGGGTGATGATAGAGATGAAGTAGTTAATGAGTCCTAGCAGGGAAGAAGTTGGGCCGGAAGGAAATTTGAAAGAACCAAGGGGGCTTTCGCGTTGTGGACCCAGGCCCACATCTGTGAATGCTTAACCTCAGTCTAGTTCTTTGGGTAAGTGTGAAGAGTTAACACCGCATCAGGGACCAGTACACTGACCCCTGTTCAGGCTGGCTTGAAAGGTTAGTCTCAGGAGTTCATAGTACGCAGTATAGTTCCAGCACGGAATGTGTCAAGTGTTAATATCAACTGCGCCTATAACATGAAAGTGGACTGCTGGGCAATCATGTTATTGTATTTGGGGACAGCATGAATAACTCGTACCTGATATGGAAACACTGGACAGATTTTGCGGATTTGCTTAGTGGGTAGGGGTGCTTGGATTGTGATGGGGTCGAGGGGAGTGGATGACAACAATGCCGAGGGAGGAGGGTATTGAACGGAAGGATGACTTGGAGGGAAAGTGAGGGTGGGTCAAGAAAACGGAAACAAGGGCCTACTTAAATACGATCTAGTTAATGATTTTTATGTTAAAAAGCAATGAAAATTTTGATTGCGAGAAAGAAAACGGAAACACATTGTGTGGGGAGGAAAATTAGGTATAAGTAGTGAGGTGTGGTCCTGCTCCCAGACTTAAGCCAATTACTAAACTGGTTTACTAGCAAGGACTGTACCATGACCAAGCGATTTGTAAAGGTTTAATAGGACAGGGAAATACAGAATGTTGAGGAAGGATAAACAAATGAGAGAAGGGGATAAACATGGGGCTCGAGGTTGTCCATTAATGCTTGTCTGGGATGGATATAAGAGGGTCTTGGAAGAGGAAATGGTTACAACTGTTGCAAACATGGGAGCGAATGTGGTGGCCAGTGGTGGAGGCTGAGTTGATTTACTTCTCAGGAGTGAGAACAAGGGAGAGTTGGAAGAATGAAGTTGTGTTAGATAAACTGGGATGAAGTGGATCTTCATATATATTTGGAAGTCTGTGAAGTCCACCAGAGCCTGGAGAAAACCACAAAGACAAACTGTATGAATACGTTATAAGGCTTCAAACCTTTATAAAAACCTACAAATCCAAATGATGAAAATCTGGAAAAAAGGAAGACCAGATACAATCTTCAGCTGGATCACAATCACCTGACCAATAAACAGCCCATGAGAACTTTCATCTCTGATAAAATCTCAGAAAAGGAAAGGCAACCCCATAAACTGAAGAAGGATCAAGTGTGTGCACGTTCAGGAGAAAATATTGAGGTTGAAGACAAAAAAACTTTCTCCTTTAGAGGCTGATAACTAATATTTAGTATGAACAACTTGTAATCTTTATCTGTGAAAATAATATGAGCTGGTCATTTCACTGTGTAGAACATTAGTTCTTATAAGTATCACTGTAGCTTCTTGATCACTTTTAGCATTCCTCATTGAAACTAATGAGAACAGAAAGCTGTGGCAAACCGCAGTAAAAATGCACAAAGATCTCAAAGGAACGTGTTTTATGCTCATTCTTGTGACCTGAAATGTCTGATCTGATGACTGCAGAGACTGATGGACTTTATTGAACTTTAAAATGAGCAGGAGTGGGTGTTGAGTGTGGTGGAGAATTACCACTAAGAAAATGTGCTGTAGCTACAAATACATCATACAGCTCCAAACTTTTACAAATTCAAATCACGGAAATCTGGAAATAAATAAATAAATAAACTAAAGAAGATCTGTTACAATCCTCAGCTGAATCACTTTCATCTAACAAATAAACTGTCCATGAAAACTTTCATCTGTGATGAAACCTCAGAAAAGGACACGCAACACTAAAAGTGTCAGAAGGACTAGGGAGACTCGAAAGGGAGTTTTCGAGTTGAGGTCTGTATGAGTGAGGCTGGCTCACAGGTACCATGAGACATGCAGCAGATGTTAATGTTAGATACCCAAAATAATGTCACAGATGACGAGGCGGAGCTCTACAGGAGAATACTGTAAAGAGTTCAGAGGACAGGTGCTGAATGGGATGTAAAATGTTGCGCAGCAGAGGGCGCTGTTTGACCAGATGAGAATGGGTCTTCAAGCTGCCACATCAGCAGTGTGGAGTTTAACTGCACGTCTGGAAATGACAGGGCTGGAAATGTGAAACCTTATTTTTTCCATGGTAAATATGGCTCGTTGGTCTAGGGGTATGATTCTCGCTTAGGGTGCGAGAGGTCCCGGGTTCAAATCCCGGACGAGCCCAGATTTTAAATCAAAAGATTCAAGGTCACAAATGAGGGGACATATAATCATCAGTCGAAAACCTAACACTAGTGACAAAAGAATCAAAAAACATTGATTCTGCTTGGAAACCTTGGTTCCTGGCATCAATGTGGATGTGGATGTCAACTGACATGTGTCAGCCACCCAAATACAGATCAATTAATCACCCTCACAGGAATGAGGGAAAGTACTTGCCCCCCCCCAGCAGGACCATGTCCCATGCTCCACTGCAAAAAACTGTTCAGGAATGTGATTAGGTACTCAAGACATCGACCTGGCCTCCAAAATCCCAAGATTCTAACCTGATCGATCATGCATGGAATGTGCTGGTACCCCAGAGGTACCCCCGATCCAAAGGTCAGGCCTGCTTGAATCAGACGTGGCTCTGACCTGTTAAGGCACCGACACGGGACCTGTGGGGTCGTCCTATAGTGTCTGGCACTGGGGTGTTGATCTTTTGAGTCCTGTTGATTGGTGTTAATGTTTTGGCTGATTGTTGCACAGTACATGGTGCACACAGCCAGCAGTCAGTTGCAGCAAATTACATACAACTGCTGTCAGAATTCAACTGGACGAACACCAAACTCAAAGTCATCAGAATTTCCAAATGAAAAAAAGTTGTATTACTTAAGTGAGTTATCATTCATTTCTGGGGAAAAGTCTATTGTTATATTACAAATCCATGTTCCCAGGCTCCCCCAGGAGCACCATATCGATACGGAACTTAGTGCGGACACCCGATCAACACAGTCCGCTGCAGAGCTCAGAGGACACGTGCTGAATGGGATGTAAAATGTTGTGCAGCAGAGGGCGCTGTTTGACCGGATAACAATGGGTCTTTAAGCTGCCACATCAACAGTGTGGAGTTTAACTGCAGGTTTGGAAAGAATAGGGGAAATTCTTATTCCATTCTTTTTCCACATAAAATATGGCTCGTTGGTCTAGGGGTATGATTCTCGCTTAGGGTGCGAGAGGTCCCGGGTTCAAATCCCGGACGAGCCCTATCTTTAAATTACTTGAACTAAAGGTCACAAATGCCTAGATATAGGCTACTATAATTTTCTACAGTTACTGAAACTTTGAAGACAACAGGAAGAACTCTTTAGATAAAGTGGGTGGCTCTTAGAAGAGCCTTTGTGTTGTTGGTTATTTCTCAGCAGGACTGTTTACTTGGAGGTAGTGTACTTGGTGACGGCCTTGGTGCCCTCAGACACAGCGTGCTTGGCCAGCTCACCGGGCAGCAGCAGGCGGACGGCGGTCTGGATCTCCCTGGAAGTGATGGTGGAGCGCTTGTTGTAGTGAGCCAGACGGGAGGCCTCACCGGCGATGCGCTCAAAGATGTTGATCACAAACGAGTTCATGGTGCCCATAGCCTTATTCATAGGTTAATAGTTCAGAGTTTAGTTACAATAAGAAAGTTGTTGGTATTGACTAGCGGTGAAAAAAGTACACAGATCTTTTACTCAAGTAAAACTGTAAATACTACAGTGTAGAATTACTCTAGTCTTGCATTCAACTCACATTTGGGTTTGTTTATTATATAACTGAGAAGTAGATGTATAAAGAGCTTGAATAACTGACACCAGCTGTGATTTAAAAAAAACGGAAGCTGATGGTAAATTATAGTTTGTTTTCAGAGAGACCTTTATTATTGATAATGAAAGTATAAACTTTTCTTGGATTAATTGATAACTCAGGTAACGCTGTATGTTCTTTACAACACATTAACAAACTATTTACACACGTTTTATGATATTAGATTTTGCAGCTGCAAGTTAGTCTCATAGATGCTGAGGACTGTGCCAAGATAATGGACAGATGAAATCATAGAGTCATAGTGACATGTGGGTTTGTTCACTGACTGTGCAGCTTTACAAAGATTAATAAGTTGCTGTTGTCGGTGTGACCTGTGGGTAAAGGTGCTCTTAGTCAGGATGCAGCCTCATGGCTGCTCCACCATGATTCAGCACACAGGACAGAGTCAGCATCTCTGCCAGTGTGTCAATTCAGCACCTCAGACAGCGACGGCTGCACAAGAGTCCTCTCACCTACACTTACCTGCTCTCACCTGGGAGAGCTGAGACACAGCTGCAGCCAATCACAGAGCATCCTGCTGCACTACAGAAGGTACTCACCTGCTTCCAGAGAACCTCCAACAAACAGCTACGTCAAAATATCAGTTTAACATACACTATATTACTGAGGTGAGTAAACACACCTGATTTCAGAAATGATGAAGAATAAAGTCTTCAGCCAATAATTCTTAATAATGCTCATTACAGTTTGTTTATCACTCTGTTTTCACTCTTTGTTTGTTTTTCACCAGTCATTCAGTTTTGGTGTCATATTGTGACACCCACCAGACACAGAAAGCAGGTTCCAGCACTGTCAGAGCAGAAACAACCAGGAAGAAGCTAAACATTAAAAAATCATTTTATTGTAGAAAATTTAGCTCTTTTTTTTTTCATCGATAAAAACAGCTTCACATATAAGAGAGAGAATGTCATTTATTGGTACATTGCAGGTCATCCCCCAACAGTCAAATAAGACAAGACAATTAATACATTATTGAAGTGTCAAGAAAACACATCTATCTATCTACACACACACACACACACACACACACACAATAACAATAAAGTACTGGTACTTCACTACAAATGTTGTCACTTTCACTGACTCTCAACCACCAACCAGTGTGTCCATCTTCCTCCCTGTGACCCAGAGCCCTCCACTATCGACCAACAAGCTCTTTTGCTGGGACAAATCCTCCTGTCAGTGAGGGAAAGTTCAATAGGCCTTAAAGGAGATCCAAAGGGCCCAAAGAATCTCCCACCTTCTCTGATGCACCTTGTAAAAGTAAAAAGAAAACTAAGAAGAGAATTTATGAAAACAAGATCCCCAGAGATTAAACAAAGAGTCAACCAAATGCAAACACAAATACAAAGAGAAATCAGGAGGGAGCGAGAAAGAACATGGGATAAATTTTATACAGACCTAAATAACAACCTGAATCCCAAAACATTCTGGCAGAAAATTCATCAACTAAATGGAAAGAAAAATAATTCACAAATTTCAGTATTAAGGCATAACGGCCAAATGATAGAGGAAGACAAAGAAAAGGCTAATGTTTTTAAAGAGCATCTGCAAAATGTCCATTCATGTCCAGATGACCCTCTATTTGATCCAGAGTGGAAGGAAATTGAAGAGTGTCAGGTTATTCTGCCTACCCATCTACCAATAACAAATATAGACACCAACAACCCTCTAATAAAAGCCTTCACAATAACAGAGCTTCAACAACACTTTAGAAAACTTAAAGTAAAAGCTCCCAGTGAAGATGGAGGGGACAACTGACTCATCAAAGAATCATCAATAGAATCCCTGGCTAAACTTGCAGACCTCTTTACTCTTTGCCTCCTAGTCGGTTACTTCCTAAGCCCTGGAAATCAGCTCTGGTATCAATAATCCCCAAACCAAACAAAGATCCTCACCTGGCAGCCAACTATAGACCCATCAGCCTCCTGAGCACTCTGGGCAAACTACTGGAGAGAGTGCTGGCTGACAGAGTTCAAAAATATTTTGATGCTCTGGGAGTTTTGGGGGTCCACCAGGCAGGATTCAGAGAGGCAAGACACAGACTCAACCACCTGAAAGTGCTCTGCAGAAAACAAGGAGGAGCAAATCCAGAGACCGCCATATGCGTACATCAATCCTACATTCGGCCTCTGTTTGAATACGCAGTGCCTGCCTGGTGTAACATTGGAGGAGCACAATTAAAGAAACTTCAGGTCGTCCAAAACATTACTATCAAAATGTGTTACAGAATACCCAAGTGTGTGTGTGTGTGTGTGTGTGTGTGTGTGTGTGGATAGATAGATAGATAGATAGATAGATGAGCAGATGGGGGTGATGCTAATGGTGATGCTAATGGTGTGTGTGTGTGTGTGTGTGTGTGTGTGTGTGTGTGTGTGCACTTAACCCTTTCCTCCCTTTTCCCCTCTCCACTCCGCATGGAGAAACCGATACTGAAGAGGACGGCTGTCCTGAACGGTTTCAGCCCCAAGACCTTCTGATCTGATGTCGTTGTTCAGTAGTTGGCGCTAAAGAGTTAATGATCAACTGTCATTAAAATCCAAAGAAGAAGAACAGCCCGGCTCTGCTTTCAATTACGTCCTCAGACAGTATTTAACTCCGTGTGACTTCAGCAGTGAACGTTATTGTGCAGAAGAATCTGAGCAGTGAAAATGAGCGGAAGAGGCAAGGGAGGAAAAGGACTCGGTAAAGGAGGCGCTAAGCGTCACCGTAAAGTTCTCCGTGATAACATCCAGGGAATCACCAAACCCGCTATCCGCCGTCTGGCTCGCCGTGG